CGTTCGAACGAAATCCCTCTGAGGAGGACCTTCACTTTTCTTGTTATTGTTGAACGGTTGTTTTCCTTCCTTTTTGTTCCCGTTCGCATTCCTCGAGCATCTTATATCTTCAATACGAATAAACTCAACCACCCTTTCTTGGAGCTCGTCCATAGTTTTAGGAGGACGTGCATATAAATTTTCAACAAAGGATCATAACCTAAGGCAGGAAGGCAAATTGCTAATGATGAAAGTATAATTGACATCCTTAACTCGCCGAGTGATTTCGTTGTACCTCTTCATAAAGGCTTTCAAAGATTCATCTTTCTCCTGTTTAGTATTTACCAGTTCCGCGGGCGTTAACTCCTGTATTCGACTAGATGCATACTGCCTCCCAAAAAGGGTTTGTACAGTGGCAAAACAATCTACTGTATTTGGAGGAAGAGTGTTGTACCATGACAATGCCTCTCCCTTGAGTGACAATGAAAAGGCTTTACACAAGACTGGGTCATTGTTGGAGTAAAATGACATTGCATTAACGAATGCTCTCATGTGATCATCCGGATCAGTCGAGCCGTCATACTTGTCAAATGTGGGTGGAGCTTTATCTGGAATGGGTTCCCACATGATTGATGTCGTGAAAGGCGGTAGACCGATCGGTCTTACGGTCTGTAGAAGTGGTGGCTCTCTTCTTCATTGGTTGTCGTTCGGATTCCCATTCGGATTATCGTTGGGATTGGTATTACCATTGGTATTACCGTTCGGGTCGGTGTGGTGAGACTGCTCCTGGTTATGACGGGTTCCATGGTTATTTTCACCATTATGACCCCGTTGGGCTAACGACGCCGAGTGTTGTTCGGATTGTACCCGACGATCCTGCTTAGTTCTTAGCATTGCGATCTCTTTTTCATGCTTTCGCTGCATCTTCTGTTGAGCTCGCGTTTGAGCTTGCAGTTGTTCTTGCGCTTGAGCCTGCATTTGTTCTTGCATTTGTGCTATCAGATCTCTGGTGTTATGCTGCTTGTCCATGCTCCTTGTGGTCACCATTTAGGCTTTGTTTGCTTGCTCTTGGCCCCACGGTAGATGCCAAAATGTTTCGGTAGGGATTTTATGGGACCGAGACACTAACATTTCCAAAACTTGAATCACGTGCTCTATCTGCTCCTTCCGCCTGGACCGCTCGACTTTCACAGTCTGACCGCTCGGTTGCCTCATTGAGTGAGGGGGGGAGGTACATGCAAAAGGTACTCTGATGCCCAAGTTAGGCATGTGATTGAAGAGCCTTGGCTCTTGATTGAATATTTAGTGAATGGTTATCACTATTTGAATATTTGAGGATATGAGTTGAGTGTGAGTAGACCCTAATAATATCTTAAATACTGGTCCAATTATGACTCGAGATTGATATAGCGGTTTGGAACGAACAATTCCCAGTGTTGACAGTTCGAACATGGGCTATACCATACAATAAGTATTTAAATTAATTTTAAATTATGAATAAATTAATTGTATTATTTCTTATTTATATTTAGGATAAGTGTTTCAACATATGTATTATACACCAACTGCTGAAAGCTGCATGTTAATTAAGCGAAATTGAAGCTTTAAAATAAATTATATGTTTTGAAAAACATTGAACAAAAATATGATATACATTTGTCAAATTTTCCACACTTTTGTTTCTTAACACGTTGGTCTTGTTTATAATAATTACGAAAAATTGGAGATGCGGGGGATCGAACCCCGTGCCTCTCGCATGCAAAGCGAGCGCTCTACCATTTGAGCTACATCCCCAGTTGAAATTATCTTTACCCTACACTTAGTTAATGTTAGTTTAAAGTTAATTATGAGAGATTAGAATTTGAAAATGGATTTGATGTATGATTTCGAATCTGTTTCTTACCATCAACCTGTTTTGTTTTAATATTTTCTAAAAATTATAAGTTTGTTGAACTATTTTGTATTGATAAAAAATTATTCAATAAAAATATTTTATTCAAAGAAAGAAAGAAATAGAAAATTATAAAAATATGTATAACATATCATTGACAAAATTACAGAAAACATTGCCCAGAAACTGTCATTCTTAGTCCTGATCGATAAGACTTAAATTTCCTGATCCAAATGGTGGCTTCAAGTTAAAAGTGTAATTCACCAATAGTCAGAGCAAGAACAAGAGCCTTGCTTGAAACTATGAAAACGATAACGATCTCGAACAACAATTTCACGTTTATATACATGAGAAGCAATCTTAATAGCAGAATGACAGTCCTGGCATATCCTCAGGTTCTTGAAAATACAGAGGGGAGAACCGAGTGGTGTGGTCATTAGGCCAAAACAAAGTGCAAGCTTCTCACTATGAGTGAACAACACTTGTTCTACCTCCTCCAATGCTTCCATGCAATCATCTCCATTGGAACAACCAAACAACACTTGACAATTCGTGTTGGGAACATAGCCAGCCAACCTCAGCTTGCAAATCATGTCATCAAGCTTCATGTAAATATTTGCAGTTCTTGGGTGAGATTTATCCCCAGCAATGAACCGATGAAGTTGGCCATCAACATATATAGAACTCATTCCTGGCACCTTTTTGATACCCCTATTCTTAAGAACCTTTCTAAGGGAATTTGCCTTGTCTGCTTTCCCACTCAATGCAAACATGTTTGAAAGCAGGATATGATATTCTGTGTTGAGGGGATCCATCTGAACCAATTCCCTCATAATCTTCTCCCCCAGGTTCAACTTACCGTGTGCATAACAAGCACCCAAAAGGGACCCCAAAACAACTTCATTTGGAGGAATTGGCATCTTCCTCACGAAAACATGAGCTTCTTCCAACAGTCCAGCTCGACCAAGAAGATCTACCATGCAAGCATAATGCTCTATTTCCCGTCGCACCCGATAAACAGACTCCATATCATGAAAACACTGCCAACCCTGTTGAACGAGACCCGAATGGCTGCAAGCACTTAACAAAGCCATGAAAGTCACAGCATCAGGCTTCACCTCTTCCACCATGGAATCGAACATCTCAACTACAACTTTCCCCATCCCATGCATGGCCAACCCACCAAGTATGGCATTCCATGCCACCACATTCCTCCGTGGCATGTACCTAAACACCATCAACGCAGCACTTACCCTCCCACATTTGGCATACATGTCAACCAAACTTGTCCCCACCATAACACCCAAATCCCACCCCATAGCCTTAACAGCATAACAATGAACCCACCTTCCCACACTCACATCGCCAGACTGAGAGCAAGCAGATAAAACAGAACACAAAGTAACCCAATTCAACCCAAGTCCACAACAATAAACCATCCCCTTTTCGTTTTGGTTTTCCATAAGTATCTTTCTACGAAAGGAATCACGTTCAACATATTGTCGAATACTACAAGTAGACATCTTTTCCCGCAAGAATTCAATTCTTGATTCGCTACATCGTAGGAGGCTAGCTCTTTCCACATGACAAAATGCATCTTGGTTATCAAAAACCCGCTCTTTATCTTCTTCAAGCCATTGCCTGGCATTATCTGTGGTTACCTCTCTCAAAGGAGATTTAAACTTCGGTTCACCACGTTGTGAGAGACTAGCTCCTTCTGCTAGACCCAACCCATGTTGATTACCAAAAACCATTTCTCTGAGAAGCATAAAAGCTTCCTTTGTAAAGCCATTTCCAACATAACCCTTTATCATAACAGTCCAAGCAACCTCATTTCTCTCAGGCATTCCATCAAACACCACTCTCCCACTCTCCACGCCCTCCCATTTCACTACACCTCCCAACACCACAGTCCAAGAAACAACACTGGGTTCCTCAATCTCCTCAAACACCCTTCTAGCCTCACCCAAAAGTCCACACTTAACATAACCATCCATCACAGCATTGCACACCTTGGTGTGCCTCAAAAACCCGAATTTCACCACACCCACGTGCATCTGAGCCACGGGGTTGTCCTCCTCAAGCCTGGCACACGCGCCAAGAGCACAGATTAGCGTGACCCCATCCACGGGGAGGGCGCGTTGGCGCATTTCGAGGAAGAAACGGAGCGAATCGAGGGGGTAGGAGCAGCGGATGAGGGCGGTGTAGTCCACAGAGTCCTTGTGAGTTTGGGGAATTTGGTCGAACAGTTTCTGCGCATGGAGGGGGAGAGAGCAAGCAGCATAGAGGTGCAGGAGGGCGTTAAGGAGGAAGTGGGAGGGGGAGGATAGGAGGCCGGCAACGGTGGCGGCAGCGTGGAGCTGCTTGCCGGGACGAAGGGCAGAGGCGCGGGCGCATCTCCGGAGAATAGAACGGAAGAAGACAGGACAGTGATGTCTGATGAGTGAGTGTGACCATCTCATACCATACTATTACAATGACCAGAGTTAAGGCAAAGGAAATTATATGCATACTCGCTCTCTCGTCAATTTCTTTCAAAATATTTAGATTTTAAACCAAAATTAAGGAAATTCAGCCAACAAAATTAGGTGCAATAATTATAATAATGTATGGTTAAAGCAGTTTTAATCGTATTCAATTCGATTAGAATAGTTTGGATTAGATGGAATATATATCGTCATTTTACTGAATTTTAATCTAATCTATTGATTAAGTTAATGAACAGTAAAAAATATTGTTTTATTGTTTAAAGAATATTTCTTTTTCCCTTTACCAAAATATTTATTTTGATTAAATTATAGATGGGAACAAGTTTAATTCTATCTTAAATTAAAAAGAAAATCTGATGCAAAAATAAGAAATTCATTTTGATAAATCAAATTAAGGGAGAACATATATCCTTTAGGCAATTAATACGCATGATGATTATTTAACATTGTTTCCATTCACATTTCACATCATCCTTCTAATTAAACTTCCGTAATAGTTCTGAAGTTTTTATTATACAGGATGGTAAAATTGTAGTTACATACTTTACTCCAATGGATTAGAACCAAAATTAGTCTATATTTGAAGACCAAAACCACACAAAATTTGGTTTCATGATTAAAATCATGCAAAAACTGACCATAAAATAAATCAAAATCAATACTCCATACATGCCAAACCCATCATTAGAGAGATACATACATTGAAAGAAGCTAACACAGTATGAAGCTGTATGCAACACTGCACAATGCATCATCTTTGACCAAAAACACTCACAAATCACAATCAGACGAGAAGGGGGCACAATGGGAAATAATAGTAATCATTGTATCTTAGTGACCTTTATGACCATTACAAGGAAAAGTCTGTGATTGGCTATTTAGAAAGTTTGAAGTACAGGATCACGATGATCGCAATAACCAGAACCAAAACAATGCCACCAATAATCCATTTGTTCTTGCTCATCCTTCTTGACATGTTGGTCAAAATTTTCTTGCTCTTGCCTATGTTATCATCTACTCCATGGAGCTGCATGATGGAATACAACCATTAATAGATCAATGGATATGTACTTTTGTGGTCTTAACACTACTGTTACTACGCATTTGACTCAAGGAAAAGAACATTTTATATTTGACTTGAAATTCCTTTTAATAGAAAAGTAAAAATTCCATGTCACTAATAGTAAAACAATTATAAATATATGATCTTTTTAACAAGAATGAAAAAAGATTACCGTGTTATGTGCATGCAATAGAGATTGGCGCTGTGAATGCAAATCTTGAAGAATCGAGACACCAAGCTCTTCTGTTTCCAACATTGTTCTCCTACTATCCTTAACTCTATCACTGGTCTTATTCAACCTCTCAGTTGACACCATTAATCTTGTTCTCTGGTCAGCAGATGCCTAACGTATTTGCATTACAAGTTGATGTCAGCTTTAGGGTTGGTTCAGAAATGAAGATTGAATTCAAATCTGGATATCAGAAAATAGGAATGCAATTTGGCCCTGGATGTAGCCCAGCAAATTTATAATCTAACATATATTAATCTTGGAGGTCCCACCACCAGTTCACCACAAATTTTATTAATATCAAAACATCTAGTAGAAGAAAAGTTAATTAGATTAAAAATCTATTTATCCATTAATGATCAGATTAAACCTTTAATGCTTAACCTAATATAGTAATAAATCAGATAAATATGAATCTTATCAATAATTTAAATTGGTTTAAATTAGTTAAATATAATTTCTAAAAAATACATTAACATTTCAAATTTTCAATTAGTATATAGTTATCTTAGTATTTCACGGGTAACAAACTAATATTGCCAAATGTTAATACACTAGTTTACACTGTACTTGAAAATGAACTAGATTGGTCATGGCAATGGAACAACCAATACTCAAAGAATCAATAAGATAAAAATTGCTATGGTCATCCGATACTCAGAAAGAGTCAACTGGATACATATTGCTTGGCCGTTTCTTGATAATTAACCTTGTATTTAACCTTAAAAAGGTCTAATATTAAGGTTGTATTTGATATATAATAACTATCTGCCAACAAAATTATAACCTACTCTTCACAATTTATCTACCATTAAAGGTATAGTACTCTTCATGCAGTTTGAAAAGATACTGCCTAAACTTCATTCGCTTAGTTTGAAAATAAGATGGATGCATCTCATAAATGACGGGTTATTATCAAGTACATACATAATCAACCCAGTCAATGTATGAAATAATAATATAAACACTGTGTTGAAGAATAATGAATAAGGGTCATATACAATTTTGGTCTACATAATTTGGTCTTAATTGCATCGCTATCTCTAGTGTTTAAATAGCTTCAAAGAAGTCCGTCAATTGATAATTGGTGTAACAGATCCAGTGTAATCTAAACTCAACTTTTACTTGAATTGCCTAGAGAAACAAAAATGACTACTGAGGGAGGTACATGGCTTGCTTGAAAGGGAAAAGCAATATCACCAACAAGGCATTGCTTAACCCATTGATTTGACTAGAGAAGTATATATAAACAGAGGGAAAAGATAATGAAATTGCATACTTCTTATAGCTTCGTAACAAAATTAATCATCTTCAAGTATCAAAAGAGGATGCTAAAATAAATTAATCATACCGTCATAGCATCTGCCATGCCTGATTCCAACAATTCATCCCGTGCCGAAGGGTTTAAGTTACCAGATACAATTTTCTTCACTTCAGTTTTAAGATTGTTTAGATCTGATTTATACTCCCGCAACTTAGCAAGAAGCACACCCTTGACGTTTGGCTGCAAACTTCTTGCCTCGAGGTCCATTTTTCGAATCTACAGATTCATTAAATAAACCATATCTGAACCAGACTACAGAGAAAATAAATACAGCTTTCCAATGCAGAAGAAAAAGAAGTACCAAAGCTTCAGCTTCATCAATTCCAGTCTTTATTTCAGAAACTTTTTGTTTCTTTTGCTCTGAAAATAAACAGAAAGTTCAAAAAAATTATAATGAAATGTGCGTTGCTCCAAAATAAACATAAGATTCAACACTTCATCCTGATAAAAACTTTAAATAGTTTGACATTCCTATAGTTCATTACTCAAGAATTAAGATAATCTTCTATGAATATGTTAAGATCCATAAGAATTTATATTTATAGAGTAAAAAACTGTTGGCATACCAAATGTGTACAAGAATTCACTTTATTCTAATATGCATACTGTAGAATGCACTCCCCGCACCCATTCAACTGACAAAAAGTGCAAAAAAGAAATGCAGCAACAAACATAGAAGGGAGAAAAACAAGTTCTGAAGTATCTGTTCCAAAACACAGCTTACATCATCAAGAAATGAAGAAATTGAAGATTGCAATTATGAAACGCTAGCAAGATCTTCGAAGTTGTCTCTCCAAAATTTATGAGACATTTCTAAAATGACATATAGAAGATACAAATAAAAGAGTGTCCCTAGTCATGACCAAAGGAAAACAATACTAGCTGTGACATCTTGGAAACTGTTGAGAGGAGAAATTTTCTGGACAGAATTTCAACTACCAGGAGAGAGACAACGGGTCCAAAGGAGCTATACACACCAATAAGTGAAACGATCCTAATTCATGATATGTGCCATCATCCAAATTCAATCAATGTAACTGAATTCAGTAATAAAGGAGTTTGGATCATATCTTTTTAGAAAAACTAAGATCTTGTAAATTTTTAGATCATATTCTAAAATAGAAAGAAAAACCTATAAACAAAATAAGCAAATGAACTAGACAAATTAACTGTGCACACAACAATAACTTAAATGATCCTAATTCATGCTAAATGTCATTATCTAAATTAAAGCAATGTAACTGAATTCTACAATAAATGAGTTTCAATCATATCTTAACAAATGCAAAATTAAGAACTCAAACTTTTGGACTATATCCTACAAAAGAAAGGAATACCAGTACACAAAAATACACTTTAAAACCAAGCAAATTAACTAAATTTATACATTAAAAACACAACAACACAAGACGGCTGGAAATTTTTTTAAAAAAGGAAGAATCAAGTTAGAATTTTCCAGTACCTCCATTAAGAGCACCAGCAGCAGTGCACTTTTTCGTAAGATTCGCCGAGAGCTCGCAGTATTGGCGTTCGTATCCCTCGAACACGTTGCTCATCGTCCACGACCTTCTTCACTCGCTGCTTCAATTCACGATCAAGAAAACGACAGGTTATAAAACTGAGAGACCGTGGAAACGAAAATAGAGAAACGAAATTAGAGAAACGAAATCGGAACCCAGGGATCAAGAACCCGGCACCGAAACCCTATTCGAAGGCGTAACGTAAGAAAATCGACGATGATCGGCGAAGCGAAAAGAGAAAAGCGTGTGTAGGAGCGTGAGATCCGAAGCGAAGGGGGTACCTGTGGTGGCCGGAGATAGCGTCGGAGGTTCGGAAACGCGAGAAATTGGGCGGATAAAGGGTGGCGAAGTATGGAGAAAAGGGGAGAAGGTGCGTTTTGTTTGAGGGAATGGTCAAAACGACAAGGTAGCGGAAAGTAGTGGAAGAGAATGATGAGAATTTGTCTGTCAGAGTCAGAGGGTTCAATTACTTTAGTATTAAACCAATTTTGAGTTTAGCGAGAAAAATTGATTTATGGAGGATCATTAGGAGAAATTCTTGACTTTTTCTTATTATTTTATTAATTTATTTATTATTTAATCAGTAAATAGTGTGTAAAAGGTTTATAGTTTCATTCTTAAAAATTCCTACAAAGTTATAAATATAGCGGTTCCAGTATTTTATTATTTAATAAAAAAAATTAAATATATTTTTAATTCACAAATTTAACGCAAAATTATAATTTTTATGAAAGCTTAATACATTAATTTTCAAATTTTAGAAATAATTAAATTTTTTTTTAAAATTTAACTTTAAATTAATTTTTTTAAAATTAAAAACTATATTAATTTTTTAAAAATTTTGAAAATTAAAATATATTTAAAGTTTTGAACAAATACAAATTTTAAATTTGCACTAAAAATTTGGATTAAAGTTCAAACACTAAAATCATATTTAATCTGTACAAATATGGTTTTATATTTATCATACATAAAAAAATATTTTTTTTCTTTATTATTATATTNACTTTTTGTTTGGTCTTTCAACAAGAACGAGAATTTCATAATTCTTCCTCTCAAATTCCACAAGATTCCATGACCAATCTCAATTTCCAGGACCCTTAGAACAAGACTTCTAATACTTCCTGTGGTGGGTCATTTGGTGGTCGTGGACGAGGACGCACTAGTAAATTTAGTGATCGTGCCAAATAATGCGATCACTGTCAAAGAACAAATCACACCTCTAACAATTGCTGGATCAAAATATGGCATTGCCCAAGGTTATATAAACCCACCATCAAACAGAATTTTGCTCCCTCCAATCCCTCTGCCCAACCTAACTAATGTTGTTTCACACACCTCCAATGACTCCTTTAATGATAAAACCCAAGTTCAGTGCAGTTTTTCTCAGGAACAATATGAAGCTACTCTTGGCTTGTTGAAACAATCTCAACCCTTTACTCCTATCATGGCCAGTGTCAATCAATGCACTCCACAATCATCAGGTTCTTCTTCTACACCCAATTTTTATTCTTGGATTATAGATAATGGAGCTACTGATCATATATGTTCTTCCAAACTTCTTTTTATTTCTTTACAGCCTATCACTCCTATTTCTATACGTTTACCAAATCAAAGTTTTGTTACTGCTAAATTCTCAGGGACTGTCACTTTAGGCAATTTGATTTTGCACAATACTCTATTTGTTCCCAATTTCTCTGTTCATCTTATTTCTATTTCTAAATTGTTACATTCCAATAATTGTTTCATTATTTTTCATCAAAATAGTTGTCTCATTGTGCAGATGGATACTTACCAGATGATTGGAGTAGCTAAAAAATACCAAGGACTCTTTTATCTCCTTAGTAATAATATCATCAGTACTTCATAATTAAATTCCTTTCATTTTGTTTTTAATAATATCATCAGTACTTCATAACTAACATCAGAATTACTCTCTATCGGGTACACACAAGGTTCTGTTGACCATTATTTATCAAACATCCTCATTCTATTATCACCATTATTTTGGTATATGTTGATGATATCCTTCTATTTGGAAATAACTTGTTTGAAATCACTACTGTCAAAGATCACCTCCTCAACAAGTTTCACATTAAAAATCTTGGAGATCTCAAATATTTTCTAGGATTTGAAATTGCTAGATCTCTCAAGTTAGGTTGTGTATAAATAAGAGAAAATATTGTCTTGAATTGATTTATGAAGCTGGTATGTTAGGATGTAAACCTGCTTCTACACTGACTGATCCTTTTGTTAAACTTCATGTTGATGAAGGTATCCTTCTCACAAATCCTTCTTCTTACTGTCATCTTATTGGAAGGTTAATCTATCTCACCAATATGCGACCCAACATTGCTTTTGTCGTCCAAAAACTTAGCCAATTTGTTTCTACTCCTTGCTAACCTCATATGCAACAAGCCATGAGGATTATTAGATATTTAAAGAATACTCCTGGTTCTGGCCTGTTGCTGATAATTCCTTATGCATTCATGCATACTCTGATTCTGATTGGGCCACTTGTGCTACCACTAGAAGATCCATCTCTGGTTTCTGTGTCTTTCTTGGAATTGCTCTTATTTCTTGGAAGTCAAAGAAACAAACTACCGTTTCCAAATCCTCTTCTGAAGCCGAATACATGTCCTTAACTTCTCTAACTTGTGAACTGCAATGGCTGCAATATCTTTCAAAAGATCTACATATACCATGCCAGACTCCTTACTCAGTCTATTGTGACAACAATTCTGCTATCCACATTGCCAAGAATCTCACCTTTCATGAAATAACCAAACATATAGACATATACTGCCACATTACTAGATAAAAGCTTCAATATGGTCTCATCAAGCTTCTTCATGTACTTCTGCTAATCAAGTTGCTGACGTTTTCACCAAGTCTCTTTATCCTTCTCCTTTTAACATTATTATTTTCAAACTAGACATGCATAATATACATGTTCATCTTGAGGGAGGGTGATAGAGATCTTAACATATTTTTTCTTCTGTTGTAACAGTTTTATTTTTTTCCTTTGTATATATTCTTTGCTTCTGCTGTAACTCAATATATTTTTAATAATACTTTTCTCTATAGCCTTGTTTTTCTTTCTCAAACACTTACAGTAAATTTTGAGTTTATAAATAGATTCCTCAGGTATGAAAACCTAAGGTTGGTTTAAAAATCATCTCATTTAAAGTTTTATAGAAAAGGTTATAAATAAAACATTATGAAATACGTATGCAATAATTATGTTTTAATTTTTTGTATTTGCACTGGTTTTATTAGGTCAACAAGTTTATATAATATTTTAAGTCAATGAAGGAAGGATTTATATATATTGATAATCTTGTAATTTTGATTAATTTTTTTTTAAAAATGGAGGTTAAAAAGGAAATTGTCATCTTACCAAAATTTTGTGAATAAATTTTAATTTCAAGAATTGTATGCACAGTTAATGTAGAAGGATGATGGAAAAATAAATTACAGTGAATGATGAAAAAATAATGTTATTTTAAAGATTGTATGGATAGTTAGAAAGTTACACTGGATATAAAGTCAAAGAGAAAGGTCACATAGACCTAAAAGAATAAATGATTATGTGATATGATTACCCTAAATTTATGTATATAATTAGTTGGGTAAAAAAAATCATAGGTCTCACGTTATATTTCAGACCATCTTTTTACTATATTTTTAGACCAAAAAGGTAAGATAACACCCAAGTTGCATCCATGGGAATATACAACCTGACACTATTCATATAACATCCCAGTGACACTATTCATATAACATCCCACTGACACTATTCATATAACATAAGACCATTGTGATTCAAAAGACATAATGGTAACATTTAAGGGTATTGAGTAATTAAAGAATAATTAGGCAAGGAGTTTGAACTAAAAATATATAAACATGATTTTTTTGTTATCAACTTGATTTCTTTTTACATGATTAGTTATGATTCATGAAAATATAAAATTTTGAGAATTTTTTATATTCAATTACAAATTTATTTAAATAATTAAGTTGTGAACTTTGAGATGTTATGAAGACTCACCTTTATTTTATTTTTCAAATGTAAAAAACGAGAAACTAAACTATAATAATGAGATTAGACCATATTAACTTTTCACAAAATTCTTTATTTTGTTAAATTTGTAATTGATATAATTTAACTTGTTTTGTGATATATTTTAAATCAAGACTTATTTTTATTTTGTTGTAAAAATATAAGTATACTTTCTTAAAGTAAACCCATATGTATATAAAAATAGGTTTAATGTCTCGGTAGATTCCCATTTTGGTCAGAAATTTCAAATATGTCTCCTTTCTTTTTTTCGTCTCAATTGGGTCCTTTTTTGTGTAAAATTTGAGTAATTAAAGGTTTACTGTCAAATTGGGTAAACGACTGTTTAAATGTTGGTTATGTGGCATGGTCATAGTTCACGTTAATGAGAGTGACTTTATAAACGAATTTTGTATTAAAAATTATGAATGCATAGTGGTGTAATCAGCTTTTTGGAAGGACAAAGTGGGAATAATATAAAACTTTAAGTGCAGCCATCACCGCAACCTCCATGACCGCCACGCGAAGCCTCCCTCCTCCTCGACCTCCCTAATGCCGCAAGCCAAGTTCGCATCTTTGTCATCTCCACCAGAAACGTAGATCTGCAATGCCTCCATGGCAGTCACCAGGGAGCGAAATCTTCTCCATCCACCATCGCCGGAGCACCGTAAGCTTTCTCCTGCGCACACCATCATAAATCTCATCAACACCGAGTCGCGAGTCCTCCATGGCACCCAGCAGAATCGCAAATCGCGCCACTCCTCGCGAGTTCGTCATCTACATCACCGGACCTGCAAAACAAAATCCAGAGAAGAACAGAAATGTCAGTCTCTCGCCGAACCTCCGACGTGGCGCAACCATCTCCCTCACGTCTTCATCGTCAACCTGCAAGCAGAAAACCACAAGAGGCGCACCACCAGAAACCAACCCAGAATCTTCTCCACCATCACCAAGCATTATCGTTGCCGTTGTTGAAGCCTAAATCGCCTCGACCACCATCGCACTGCCACTTTCTCCTTCGTCTCCATCAACCTGTGAATAAAAAACACACAGAATCCAATTCGCGGTGCAGGCAGGAAAGCCTTCTTCCAACTTCCAAAGCTAATTTGTTCCTCACACGAACCCTACCCCCAATTTTTTCCCCAATCTCAATTACATTTGTCAATTAAAGGGGTCTGCACTTAAAGTTTTTTATTATTCCCACTTTACCCTTCCAAAAAGCTAATTACACCACCACTATGCATTCATAATTTTTAATACAAAATTAGTTTATAATGCCACGTCTCATTAATGTGAACTCTGACCATGCCACGTAACCAACATTTAAACGGTCGTTTGCCCAATTTGACGGTAGACCTTTAATTGCTCAAATTTTACATAAAAAAGGACCCAATTAAGACGAAAAAAAGAAAAGGGA